AGAAGGGATAGAAGCTCATTAAATCCTCCTTGTATTACTGCTGACATTCTGACAGCCTATGCTTAAGTATTTCCTCGAATAGGGCCCTTCCCACCTCAGCATTTCTATTATTGTATTGTAGAAATGCTCTATTTGTTATATATGTATTTTTCTTCCCATTGAGCTGCAATTTTCCTCTGGCCATGATGCGAAGGTTTGCCCTCCAAAGCAAAAAAGAGCAAAGCATTCTCCTGCTCTCTCTGGCAATCCTTTAAATATTTGAAAGTAGCTAACCTGTCCTCCTTTAGTCTTCATCTTCCTGATAAAACAGAACTATCAATACAAGGCAGTTTTGGGGTCCTTCTTTGTGGTTACCTCATCTAAATTGTCTCTCTTTTCTCAGTGTCCCCACTTCACTGTAGCACTCAAAGAATTGTACATTATAAATGTACCAGTTGTGGTTTGGCAGAACAATTTAGTGGACTTTATAAAAGCTTGTTTTGTTTTTTTTACTTTATTTCTTTAGGTCAAATAAAAGATAGTTGTGTCATTATAAATATTTTGAAGTGTGCTGACAGATCAGTAAATTTTGAATGATATTAAATGGAGATTTGCATCATATCTGCAAATTAACTATAGTCTATATTATTCACATTATATGGAAGAGTTGTTGGTAATTATTTTAAAACAAGTAATAAATATGGATTACATTTTGTTTACCTATTTTGGTTTTTCAGATGTAATTTCTAATTTCTTATATATTGAAAAAGTAACAATTATTTTTCTGTATGTTTTCCCTAATTAAATATCTGCCTTTTATCTTTATTTTTATTGGTATCATGAAGTAGGAGATTTTTCTAAGGATGGAACACTTCTATTAAAACTACCAAATCAACATTCTCACAATGTAAAACATAAAATAATATCATATAAATACAGAGTTTTATTCTTATGGAATTCATTACTGGTTATTGTTATTAAGATTACTAATAAATACACAAAGGATTCTTATGAATGGATTTATCTTTTATTCTAGTAAATTCAATAAATTCTGACTTCTTAAAAACAAAGGTAAATAATTTTATTAATGTATTTTAGAGTCAGAATGGGAAATATTCAGGTATATTACATTTTAATATTTTTAAGATGTTAATAAACTATGGTAACGTTTAAAATAATTATTTTTACCATTGACCAAAAATCTTGGTGATTGTCATATTGCTACTAATCTTATGCTTTCAGATGAATGCACTTATATTCTTACTGACAAGGTGAAATCTTACATGAATTATAGGTGGCTCGGTATGTACTGGAGTAGTTTATGTTGAATTACCACCTGGTCCTGTTCTGTGGGTCCTCTAATGCACTTGCACCAATTCTGTCCATGCATAGAAGCATTCAGATTTACAGTAGTCATTCTTGTTTGCAGTGCCTTTATTTAAAATATGTAAAGAGTGTTTATAGTGTTACTGAAGCATATGGAGTTAGGCATAAAGATGAATAACATGCTTTTATTACATTGAATTCAGATTCTATCTGTGGAAATATTTAAAATTTTATCCATAGTATTTCTGACCATTATCTTCTTACCAGTATTAGAAATTCAATTTTTGCAAAGATAAATTTCATTATAGAAAAACTGTCAATGAAACAAAGAGGAAGTCATGATTTTACTAAAATAATTTACATGCTAAAGTAATTTAATTCAATCCTAAAACTTTTAAAAAGATATATATCAATAGGATGGGATGTAATGAAGAATACATTATAATTGGTAAGAATACAAGATTATATTATATATAAAGTATGTAAATAAATGTCTGTTATGGCTTCCAAAGCCTAAGGCATATGGGAAAAGAAGGAGACTGCAGCAAACAGAGCTGGAGAAAATCTAGAAGATCACCTTTCTGATCCCAGCTCTGCCTTATTAGCAGGGTGGCATTAGATAAGGCCCAGCCTCTCTTGGCTGCAGTTTCCTCATCTCTCAAAAGCGGGAATTGAACTTCTGTGATCTCCAATGTACTTTCCAGTTCTAAAAGTCTCTCATTTAAGGAATGAACCATAAAGAGCCTATAAGCATTTACATCTGCTAGTATACTGGATTGGCTCTTTATTTCAAATTCTTATTCTGAAGCTATTTTGAAACTTTAAAAGAGATTTCCTGTGCATTTTGAAATATTGGTCTTTTTACTGGGAAGCAAATCAACCTCTAAAGTACAAAGACTGTCTCTTTATGACAGTAGTTAAATTATAACAAGTTGGAACTCCTTGAAATGATCTGGCCCAATGAATTCACTAGTTTTTATTTTGTGATATTTTAACCTTCCTGTAAACAAAATCAGCAAGAGCAATTCTGAATAAAATATGAGTTTTTTTCATAAAAATGTAATTATGCTAGGGTTGTTTTTAAAGAATCAACTCTCAAAATGTTTGATTGCATACAATCCAGAAGAAAACCTGATATTGATGGTGGTGTTTTTCCCCCTCACATTTTCTTGATACAGAATAATAAATGGATTTAACCTTTTGTTTCTCCCTAGTTGAACAACTTTTGAATATGAGCTCCAGAATGACAGTATTGATAACTTTCGTTTACATATAATAACAAACATTTGTAGAGGAATAGCAGGGAAAAATAAGCTTTGTGCAGGAAAAGAATGTGATGCATAGGGTAAAAAAAAGAACTTAATTATGAAAACCTCCAACTCTGATTTTCTCTCCATATACAAGCTAAAGATTTTTTTATCATTTTAGTCAAAAGTTTAAAAATTAAATAACATTCTTAGGAGCAGGTGTGTTCTAACATACACACACACATATATAACATTGAAATATGGTGGTGGAAATAGTCATGGCTTGCCCTCGAGTTTTTACTCTCCTTGGTTTGTGTGATAACTTAATTTTTAAAAAACTTTGTATCTGTTTGAAATTTACAAACTGTAGAAATGCTTATTAAAGACTCATTATATTAGCATGTGTTAAGGGGGGGTTTCTTATTTTCCGACTAACATTTCAGTATTTTTAATTATGATAAACCATGTAACACAGATTCATGAATTTTGGGGCAGTGGAAATTATTTCCTTTGACTCTTTTTTCTGCATATCATCAATTTGCTTTTTACTCATGTTTCTTCTACTGTCGCTGTAAGCTTACTTGTTGTTTTTTCTTTCCTTTTCTTCATGCTGTCGTTTAGAGCCCTACAGAGAGACAAGTATGGGAGTAAAGCTAAACATTGCATATCAAATGTAATTTTTTTTAGTTCACTTTTATTGCATCACATATAGATGATGTAGTTATTAAAAACAGTTCATCTCACAATTTAAAAGTGAAAGAGCCTATAAATTGACTTATATGTTAACAGAGTTTAGACGCTTTTGTTGTCTGATTCTTTTATCGTCACATAATCAACGTAGTTAAGTCTCATGTAATGTTTCTGTGAGTTAAATTGTTTTTAAATTAAGCATTTATTTTTGCTAAGTAATTCATAAGCTTTTAATTTTTATTAGTACATTCCATCATAAAAATGTGTCATAGTGCAACATACTTTATTTTATTATGGCTGTTTTCAGCCCATACCTAATGCATTGACAACAGAAATAATAAACACGTTTCAATGCATCAGCCACCAACCATTACCATCAAGCATACCATTGCAGCCTGTCCAACAGCAATCACCCATTACATACAACACTTTAAAAAGCATTTACCTTTATTTTTTTCTTAACATTGTGGATTTGTCTAGAAGATACCTTATAACATGAAAATAAATTGTTTCACCCTATGTCTGTGATGACTGCTTATTAAAGCATTTTATGCATTGCTTTTTTTAAAAAACTGTGTTATCTGAATACAGAGTATGCATCAGAGTCCACATAAAAATTGATGTATTTGAGATACTTCATTTCAACCTGCAATGAACTAGTTTAAACATACCTGCATCACAGATATAGAATGAATGCTATATTTTCACAAGTTAGCAATGTATTGCGAAGTTTAATAGAATTCTTCAATTAACTTTTCTGTAAAGAAATATCCTTTTTTATTTACCAATATTGGTTAAATGTTTGTGTTTTTTTCTTTCATGGTTGCATTTGAAGTGATTATTAAACTATTCAGATTCTTGGATTTCTGTTCTTTCAAGGGAATGCAAAAACCTTGAAGAAATATGTGGTCAAATTTATTTCACTGCAATTGTTCTTACCAGAATAAAATGTTTATCCTATTTTAAACCCAAAGTTTAATATGCACACAAAGTCATCACTCATTATATATGGTAATGTTAATACTGACAATATGTTTTTAGGAATCAGATCTCTGTGTCTTTGCATGTTCTTTTATAGTATTACCTAATGACCCTAAACAATCACTAATGGGTTAATATATAATAATAACCAAAGTGCTTATAGCAGAAAAAAAACTAGAAAGTAAATCCAAATACTTTTGTTTTGAAAGTTCCTTTGTGTAAATTATTTTGACTTACCATTTATTTGACTAAGCATTATTTCATAACTTCATCATTCTGACAAATTTAACATAATCCTTCTGTGGTTTTGTGTGTAGCGATTATCTTCCAAAATTATATATCAAATTATTAGAAATTGTTTCTTTTACTTTTAACCAGTATGTTCAAAGTACCACACATGAATTATGTTAATATTATAGCTATTTTAATGTTAAGACGTAAAATGAAAGGTAATGAATTATTTAATTGACTTTGATGTGTATAAATTGAAAGCTATGAATAACTACACCAAAATTTTGCTTTATTTTGTCCAAGTTTTAACCAAATATACTTCAAATAATGTAAGGCGATGTTTGTGTGGAAATTGCAGATTTATAATTTACAGGTTCTTTTTTTCTTTTAAGAATACTTTTTGTTTCTTTCAAACATCTTATATTTAAGTAAAAAGGCTAGCAATTTATACATATTTCATAGTCGAATGTTTTTGCTTTTGTGTTTGTGTGTGTGTTCTATGGCCTTTTGGATATAAATGTCATAGTGTCTTGTAATCTTTTTCAGAGGGGCTTCTGAACAATGCCAGGGATACAAGTGTCATGGATACTCTACCACTGAATGGTAACCATGGCAATAGTTACAGCATCGCCAGCGGTGAATACCTGAGCAACTGTGTGCAAATCATAGACCGTGGCTATAACCATAACGAGACAGCCCTAGAGAAAAAGATTTTGAAGGAACTCACTTCCAACTATATCCCTTCTTACCTGAACAACCACGAGCGCTCCAGCGAACAGAACAGGAATCTGATGAACAAGCTGGTGAATAACCTCGGCAGTGGGAGTGAAGATGATGCCATTGTCCTGGATGATGCCACCTCCTTTAACCATGAGGAGAGCTTGGGCCTGGAACTCATTCATGAGGAATCCGATGCTCCTTTGCTGCCCCCAAGAGTTTACTCCACAGAGAACCACCAGCCACACCATTATACCAGAAGGCGGATCCCCCAAGACCATAGTGAGAGCTTTTTCCCTTTGCTAACCAACGAGCACACAGAAGATCTCCAGTCACCCCACAGGGACTCTCTCTACACCAGCATGCCAGCGCTGGCTGGTGTGGTGGCCACAGAGAGCGTTACCACCAGCACCCAGACCGAACCCCCGCCGGCCAAATGTGGTGATGCCGAAGATGTTTACTACAAAAGCATGCCAAACCTGGGCTCCAGAAACCACGTCCATCAGCTGCACGCTTACTACCAGCTAGGGCGTGGCAGCAGCGATGGATTCATCGTTCCTCCAAACAAAGACGGGACCCCTCCAGAGGGAAGTTCAAAAGGACCTGCGCATTTGGTCACTAGTCTATAGAAGATGACGCAGAAATTTAAACCAACAAAACTGCTAACACCTTGTTGACTGTTCCGAGTTGATATAAGCGGTGGTAATAATATGTGTCCTCCTAAATCTCTATGCTGTTCTCGAAAGACACATACAAACTCTCAGACTTTTTCTTTTTTCCTTTTCCTTTTTTTTAATTGGGATTTTTAGGTCAGCCCAGGGGAGAAAGATAACTGCTGAAATTCCCCTGTGCCCTATCCTTTCCTGTCCTTTCCCCCTCAGATGGAGACTTCATTATGTTAATGAACGAGATATGAAGAAAATGGCACTCATTGTGGCCTTGTTGAGTTATGTTGTGTTTGTTTTAACATCTCTGATGCTCTGTTACTATGATTACAAGGACCTGATTTTTGAAAGGCCAGAACAATTGTTCGAAATTAGTAACAATGCTGCATCTAGATTGGAGTGCTGCACAAACATAAAAACAAAGCAAAACTGTATCACATAGTGGTTTTGGTCACTCACAACCTGAATTTATCACAGCAGGGATAGCTGTGGAGTACAAAATAAAACAACAAAATTAATAATGAAATGGAGGGGAATTCTAGAATTATATGCTAAATGCATATTTTATGATTTGCTGTATTAACTGACGATAAAACTAATGGCAGAAAAAAATTGAACAATTTCTATGTAATGTACAGATACTAGCATTGCACATATAGTCTGCTTTCTGTTCCTCCAGAATTTGAGTCCTGTTAATGTAGTGGGAAAAAAAAAAGTTTTCTTTTTCTTTCGTGCTGGTCTTGCAAGTTTGTCTACCAGTAAGAGAGCAAAGTTTCCTTCCTTTCTTCTTTCTTTTCTTTCTTCCTTTTTTTTTTTTTTTTTCCTTTAAAATTTCACCTGGCAAAAAATAAATAAATGAAACTATCACTTTATAAGAATCATTTTCTAGTAATGCAAACAAATTATTTTTTACAAAAAAATAAATAAAATAAATAAAATTAGACTTCCTTCCCTCACTATATATCTTTATTCAGTCAAAATATTTCCAACAGCATTTTTGCAGATTAGAGCTGGACAAACTTTTATGTTTACAGGGCACATCTGTTGTAATGCAAAGCATATTTGGCAAGCAGTTCATCACCAAGACAGTAGCTATGATTCTAGAAGTCGAGAGGTGTCTATAGAACTAGTGGGGCTTCTGCATGTGAAAAATGGTATAGGTGTTAAAGTGCTGAATGCTCAGTCTGATCCCCAAGTGGGCACATGCACTACCAATTTTTAGAGGAAATTCACTCCCTGGTAGTAAGAATTGAAAAGTCAAATTACTTTGAAGTGATTTTTTTTAAAAAGTTTCTGTTTATTAACAGGAAAATTTATTTATTTGACAGGATTTTAAGTAATGTAGGAATACAAGAAGTAAATTAGCAGCACATATAATTTTTTTTTAAAATTTATGATCCATTTTGTATGGTCTCAAAGTTGGATGACCTCATTACTAATATTTGTTGTAAAAGTGAAACTTGTTTGCCAACCAATAAACAACTGATTGAGATTTAGAAGATATTGTATTGATGTATGTACTATATGATGAATTATTCTCTTCATTTTTCTCGCCTTTCTTTCCTTCTCTTTTCAATATATAAACTTTGGTAATCCTCTGTGGCCCAAGTGAGCCATGCAAAAGAAATCCAACCTGACTAGATGAATAACCTAAGCACAAAATCATACAGTTTTTGCAGACAAAGTAAATCAGAAAAATGGGACGGGCATGTTTATGTTGGCTGAAATAATAGCTTACTTTTGAGCAGGTTAACAGATAGGTTACTATGTGATTATTTATAAACCAGCTGCAGTCAAAATGCTTATTTTAAAAGCTAGATTGAATCAGAGGTTTAAACATCGAGTTTTGGGCAGGGAAGATCATATTTTTTTTTCCTCCTTTGTAAGCTCCATTCTGATGTTAAAAATTTAAATTCATTTAATTTACTAAAAGCTGCAAGAACCATGGCAAAGAGAATATCCATTTAATAAAGATAGTATAAGACATTTTTTGTGGCATTTTTTTGTTGCTTTATATATGGAGGAAATAGAAGAAAAAGTCCTTCAAAGAAACTTTTCTTGATCTCTAATTACTTCAGATCCTTTGCCAGCAGTGTCCAAGCCTGGAGCCCCTCTTGGGGCAAAGCTAAAATGAATTTGCTAAATTATCATTTCTTTTGTAGCATGTTATATCTTGGAGATTTCTTTTGCAAAAATCTAACCACCACCCATCTATAATTGAATACCTTAAATCCAGGTAGATAAGGAGTTTAGAGAATGGCCAGTAACCTATATATAGTTTGAAAATATATGACAAAAAAAATTTGTGCTGGGCCAGAGTACATCATAACCTTCGTATCACCTCAAAATATTGTATGTATCATTACTTTTTAGTCAATTGACAGTATTTTTTAAGTTTACAGATTGTCTTTAAGTTGGAGGAGAATCACAAACTTTAACAGTGATTAAGTTTTCTCACAACACACTATGGCAATGTTAGCACCTGAAAGGAGTTTAATCCACCTGATACATAAAATACCTTTGGCAATGAAACACTCCTTTCTTGACATGCTTAAGGTAACTTCAGAAACACAAGAGTGGTCTGTGGATTATGAGGACTTTTGCTTATTTTGCCAACCAAACAGTAATCTATATGAAAGCAACTCTGTCAGTAAGAAGTTAAGTTTCATAAAATAATGAGGAAACTACCTCAATTCAGCATGCTGATTTTTGGATATTGCTACCTCCCTGCCCATTACCTTTTGTGTTTCATTATATGGAAATTTGAAGCAGGTAGCCTCCCCAGCTCTACACAGACCAAGTTGAAGAAAGATCACTTCAGTACATAAACTGGTGCAGAAGAACATTCATTACTATCAGTTCCTACCAGGCTATTGCATCAAGATGAAAGCATGAGATTTTTGAACTCTCATACATCGTAATTGGTGTGCTTTCAGAGAGACTTAAGATCCCAAAGATTTTCATAGGGAGAGATTGTTCGCCCAAGTTTTATGTGACTATAATAAAAACAAAACAGTGGATAAATGAGTGTATACATTTCAATAGAATTTTGTGTGTATTTAACATGTATTCATTTAGTACTATTTACATTTAACAAGGGTTGAATTGCCGAACTTGAATTTTTTTCACATGCATTTTTATGTAGAACTGCTGATGAATTAATAATTTAAAATTTTTTCTTCCTTCTACCACCTTTTGTTGACTTTATTTTTCAATTCCCTGTGACATTCGTTACCTACTTATCTGCATATTTTTGATGTGTTTATCTGATTTTCCAACAAGTAAATTTACATCAAACAGACACACTGCACATACATAGCACATTATTTAGCCAGCTGAAAGTAAAAGTTATGACAGTGAAACAAACCGATTATTACTTTTTAGGAAAATAAAATTTTTATAACATTTCACACTTGAATTTTTTTTTCTCTTCAAAGTCTAGTTCACATGATACTTTATCAAGACACGAGCTAATGGACCTCATGTTTAGTTGATTCTGAAAGTGATGGGTTGTTGTACAGCCTATGTTCCTAATTGATCATGTTTGTGGAGAAATCCAGATTTTGTGAAAGAGAAATAGATTGGAATTCTAATTAAGTTTTATGGGCATCCCTTCTTGTTTCCACTTTATTAAAATTAATCATACTGGAGTTGAATAATATGTTACTATGCTAAAATACTCATAATTACAAAAAAGAACTGACATGAGAACAATTATCTTAAAGTAAAAGTAATCAGAAAAATGTGATAATCAATAGCAGGTAATGGAAATAACCTTAACTTCCTGTAACATTCACAATGACTCTATATTAAAATGTGGTTTATGATCTTTATTTTTAAAATCCCCATTGTCATCTAAAAATGTTGACATATTGATGAATGGACCTTTAAGATTTAGGTTTTTAATTTTTTTTAATATTAGCAGTTGGTATGTCAAAACTTTTCATGATAATAGAGATAAGCATATAAGGGAATTAGTAACATTTATAAAGAATCCGTACACTTAATTTTAGACAATATCTTCAGCTTTTTAACCCACACATTTTCAAACTTATTCATTAGTTTTCTTATCTTAATAAACGACATTAAAAATTTCAGTGGCTGACTTTCTGCATTATTGTAGAGACTGAAAGGGACAGGAAAAATAGTTTCTGGTTTGTCTAAAGATCATGTCCAAGCTAATATATAATTATCCCCTATTAATGAAAGAATAGTTAGTTTTTAGAAGTTGTTCATCAATACTGTACCAAAGTGCTACTGCTTAGAATATTTTTGAAAAAAAAGAAAGAAAAAAATAAAACCACTGTAGAACTACAATTCATCAATTCAAATCTAAAGAGTGAAAAAAAAAACCCCAAACCCTAATTTGGTTTTGAGCAAATGTGAAGTTATTGTCAGGAATGTCCTTTCTTCTCTAACAAAAATATTGAGATAAGATAATATGTATGAACTTCCCAGTATATTGCCGACCGAGGTATGAAGATTTAATTATTTAATTTTTAGTAATTCACAATTATAACTCACCACATAAATGACTAGTATGCATTTCTAAGTAATACTTTAAATATATCTTTGTTAGATTTCTGCACATCAATAAATTAGGAAAGTGGTAGCACAAAAGCAAAGCAGCAACATTGCAAAATAACTTATAGAAGCATTTTTGAGCAAAAGTATTCTATATAAGAAGCTTCTATGAGCTCATAAAATAGATTAAATGGATCCCAAAAGTAAATTCAATTTTATAATCAGCAAACATATCCTTCTTAAACCATCTGAAAGAATATTATTCAACATCTAAATTTGCATTTGTAGACTAGTAGAAATTAAAAAGTATTGGTAGCTGCTTTTTTCCTGGTTAGGCCATACGAGGAAACTTTCCTATTTACCAATTAACCCTGATTACTTCCCCTTCATTTTAAAAGGAAATCAGTCTTTAACTTCCACCTGTACACACTCTGATTCTTTTTATTCCTTTTTTTTATTTGTGCAGAGGAAAGAGCTTGATTACAATATTGCAAACATTGTCATTATTACAATAAAACAAGTAATTAATATGGCTTTGCATATTCTCATTTGAAATAAAGTTATTGCTATTCCTTCTTATGAAAAAAATTAAAGTCAACACTTCTTTAACATTTAGCACCTTTAAGTTACCATTCAAATGTTTTGATTTCAACTACATTTTGTTGTTTCTTTCTCTCCCTTAATAGCATATCAGTGCATTTTGCTCACTTCATAATTTGTGTCCCATTACAGTATTTCAAAGGTAAATGCAGACTATGATTTTTAGGAAGGCACGTGAAAGAACTTTGACTTATGTGAAGAGGTCAGGGAATACTATACACACACACACACAAAAAAAAAAACTCTATTGAGATAAACAAGTCTTTTCAACTACAATATGAACAGAAGAAGAGTAGAACGAAGTTGGTAAATTTATGGTGAGGTAGCAGGACCTATGTTAGAGTTATAGAAAAAAAGGTATTTTAGAGAAAAATAATGAAATCATTTATAATGATAAAAATCTTATATACTGTATCAAATGCTACTGAAAAGAAAGACAAGGAAAAAACATTTAAATTTGATTAAAAAGATGAAATTGTCCTAAAAAAAAAAGTGGGGTGTCCCATATTATAATTTCCTCCTGCTAATTCCACAGGAAACACTAAATATTTTTAATAACGTTTAAATATTTCTTGTCTAGCTTGACCTTGTCTCAAGGAAACATCAATATTTTATAAATATTTCTTAAATATAAGTATTTTGCCTCAATTCACCTTCACTCTCTAATCTGCTGACTCTATTGTACACCAACATAGTTAATGCTACTAGTAGCTTTGTACCTTTTAGATCATTATTATGAATCTTTCTAATAAACATTAATATAATATTAGAATTATGTACATTGTACAAAATAACTCATAACCCAGCAATATTTATATTACAGGATAATTCATTATATATATATGAATATTATGTTGAGACTGAACAAATAACTACACTGAAAATATTACTCTCAAGTTCTCTTTCTCTTCAATTATTATAATCAATTCATAAAATTTTGCAGACAATTGTATACATGGTTGGTTATCTAAATACTCCATAGTACAAATGTATCTAAAAGTATTCCCAATGCTTCTTCCATTTTAGAATGCAAAAGGAAAAACCTTAAATAGGAAAGTAAAGCAGACTTCTAAGGATCTAATTTAAACATTGTCATTCGGACTGAATAATTTCAAAATGAGGATGCTTCACTCTTCGATCTAAGGGAGAGGTTATTAAAGATTTACATTGGTCCAAAGCCAGAGAATTTTAAATTTTAATGGAGTTAAGTTTGTCTCAATGGCCCAAGACTACAAAATGTTACTCTACATTGCTAAGGAAATATATGTAAAATCCAGACCTAAAATAGTTTTTAAAGTTTAGAAATTCCTCTGATTATTCCAAATATAAAACAGGCAAAATGATCCTGATTCCAAAATGGAATATATTGACTGACCTCAAATGATGCTTGACAAAATTTGTGAGTGTCATCAACTCTTTAACAGTTGGTAGAGAGATCTTTGGGATTGGAACTCAGGATACAGTGACTAGGACAGAATGTCCTCTTATGCTAACTTCTGCCTAGTCCTGTGATTTTTTTTTAATGCCTTGAGTCTCAAGTTGTCACAATGGCTTATGTTTTGAATGACATTTTGAATCAAGGAAGATGAGGAAAAAACATTTAAAATTGGTTTTCATGCCTCATTTGAGAATAAAGATTTCCTTTACCATCCTAAGTAATACAAGGTGATGTCTTGAAACAGCTGTACACAGTCAGAATGTGTTCATTTATAGACAAATATTGTTTGTATATTCTAACACTGATCTCTGCCTGTAAACTATTAAATCAAGATTTGTAGAGTGAGGTTGATTTCCCTTCATTTGGCTTCTGTGAATGCATTGGAAATGGACGGACAATTTGGAACTTTTTCCATACTGTTTTCCCCCTTGCCTAGCATTAAGCCTAACTTTTTAAAAAACAACAGTTTATTTTAAAAACTAACAACTATTTGAGCTATTTCTCATTGATAAGAAAAATCACTTTTTAGAAACAAGAATATAGCTATTGCAGCTTTGGTCTCTTAGGATTATATTTACACCTAGCATTATTCTTATCATATACACCTACCAGATTTCAAGCTTTTGGATTTTTTCACTTGTACAACCTTTTCATCGTTTCTTTTTTTTTTTTTTTTTCTTAAATGCTCTGTACAATCACATGTAAAATCATGAGCTGCAAACCTCAATAAAAAATATCAGCAAACAATAATTGATGTAGTTACCGTTATTATATGGTATTACCAAAACTCAGGGTAATAGCTGAGACATGGACTCCTGATAGTTTTCTTGTTCCCACTGTCTTCATGCTCTGCCATCCTCTTTCACACATTGAAAATAAAATGTGAGAGCTTTTTTTTCATATCTTCAGAGAACCGCTGCAACCTAAGGTGCCTATAAGACTCTTTGTCCTTTTCAGGAAGATGAGAAATTAAATTAAGAATTTACTGTTTGACCTTAAAGTCTGCCACTAATGAGATATAACCAAATTTAGTCTTATATCTACTGCCTGATCTTATTTGTGCTCATCGCCAACTGGGGAGTAGGACAGCCAGTCACCAGTGGACTTCTGCTCCAAATGAGAGTTTGAAGTTCTGTGCTGTGACATGCCATTACATATTAGTAAATGTTTGTAAGTGTTTTACATCACAAAGATAAATGTTACCTAATCACCATTCTGTAATGTCAAGGATTCTGATTATTTAGTTTACTAACTCTGAGAATCAGAAACATAAATAAGCACACATATCAGCTGGATAAATCTAATTCAAATGCTTCTCCCTTATAATACTAAAAATATATTTCATAAGAAATATTCTGTGAAGAACACGGACGGGAATCAGCAGCTCCTACGTGCCTCACATGCACCTAGCACTTTATATCACCTCATTTGTTCTTTCCAGTAATGTTGTGAAGTGGAACTTACTATACTCCTTTTGTGGAGGAAACAAATTCAGATCTCACAGTTACAGAGCTAGTGAGTTTTGAACCAATATCTCTCAGTGTAAAGTCCATTTTATTTCTTCTTTAATCACATTATACTGCAGCAACTGAATGATTAGTTACAAAGAAATTAATCCATCCCTTTTTATTTAAATAAGGGGGATAGGAGGACAGGCATTCAAGGAAATGTTGAAAAACCATGAACTTCAAAGTTTATATATATCCCATTTTACCAGGCAGTTAAACACTCTGTGTGTGTGTGTGTGTGTGTGTGTGTGTGTGTGTGTGGAGAGAGAGAGAGAGATCAATATACATCTATCTATCTATCTATCTATCATCTATCTATCTATCTATCTATCTATCTATCTATCTATCTATCTATCTATCTATCTATCTATCTATCTATCTATCTATCTATCTATCTATCTATCTATCTATCTATCTATCTATCTATCTATCTATCTATCTATCTATCTATCTATCTATCTATCTATCTATCTATCTATCTATCTATCTATCTATCTATCTATCTATCTATCTATCTATCTATCTATCTATCTATCTATCTATCTATCTATCTATCTATCTATCTATCTATCTATCTATCTATCTATCTATCTATCTATCTATCTATCTGAGAGAGAAACCAGACAGACAGGCCTGATTTTTAAATTCTGGTTCCATCACTTACCGATTTTACACCTTTGTATAAATTACTTAACTTTCCTAAGAATAGGGTTGCTCATCTCTAAATATCTAAGTACAATATCTATTTTGTATGTGTGACAAATAATGTACTAAGAACACATAAAATCCTCACACAGAAAATTTTTAACAGTCTGAGTTAATACTAGGAAGACTCTTTGTATCTTATTCAACAGTATTAAGGTTAGATAATAATAATGTGCTTCTAAATCAAATTCTAGTTACAGTGTCACTCTGATATCTATGGCTCATTTCATTATCAGAGCTTGTATAATAACTGCAAGTTTCTCAGTCTTTATGTGGGCAATTTTTCAAAATTTAATCTTTAAATAACAGTTTTACCAGCTGTACTTCCAATGTTCTAATGCAACATTTTATAATCTGTATTTAGTGGGTCTCGTGATGAAGAAGATGGTTTTAAGTTTAAGTATATTTGGGAGTTGTGGGACTAAACAGAGGTATACTGTAGGATTTCAAAGGATGCACTGGATAACTTCAAGAAAAGTATATGTGGCCATGTTTCATAAAATTATTTGATCCTGAAATCCTCAAGGCACCTTAAAAGCAATACATTGAGAACCTATTGACTCACGGAACTCAGTTTGTGATACACTGCTCAAAATATTTCTGTTAACACCAAGTATTTTTCTTTTCTGAGTATTTTATATCAATGAAATGCTGAAGGTGTGACTCCTCCAGTATTAATAGGCTTTACAATTCAAGATAAAATGATGTTTATAAAAGTGTTTCCACTAAATGTCTGCTCCCAGTCTTTAGGTGGGGAAAGAAAAATTGAGATGAATGCTGCTGTAAGATTTCTGCCTAAACTGTAGAGTCCCTTTATTTAGTGTAGCTTCCTATCTTCTGATACAAAATATCCATTTGGCTGCAGCAACTGGAGACAAAAAGAGTCTATAATCAGTGCCTGTGTTTCTCATTTATAAGGTGCATATGAACTACACAGGAACCTTGCTAAAATGCAAATTATGATTTATGTACTTCTGGAGATGGGTCTGAGTTTTTACATTTCACACAAGCTCTCAGTGATGCCTATATAGTTGCTCTAGCTAGTACCAAGGCACTTGGACTTTCTCTGTGTCTTCCACAGGCTTTGCTATTAGGTTTAATTTTCCCCCTAAGTGGTTAGTTTTAGATATTAGAGAACATATTACAGGAAAGGAGAAACAGAGTTATTAGATGCTTCCCAATCTTACCAAAAAATAAATGTTAATATTTTAAAAAATAGAGAGAATTCTCAAGGTTGGTAGTTGTTAAAATAGTACTCTGTGTTTGTCTGTGTGAACCTGTGTCTGTGTCTTTGTATCTTATGTGTATATGTGTGTGCCTGGGTGTTTCTGTGTAATTGCATGTAAAACACATATATACATGTAGTAATTGCTTACAAAAAAAAGGTGTTAACTAAGTGGTATTTTCCTCATAAGTGCTTATTTAAGACACACTAGAAATACTTATTAGAATAATTAAACTAATTTGGGGGACATATAAAAGATTAATCTGACTGTTGTAATTGGAGATTCTTGCTGGTTTTCTATTTGTACATAAAGTGGAGAATAATCACATAGTTAGGTGTGGCAAAAAGTGAAATACTAAAGAATGCTCAGAAAGTAACAGTTTGAATTTTATAGATAAATAAATTTCTAAAAAATATCAATTATAATTATTGTTTCATTACAATACTAAAAAGTCTATTACCAGCAAAGAATTTTTCTAAGTAAAATATCTAATAAGACAAAAGTGAACTCATTTTCTCTACTTACCTCTGAGACACTTCATCCAGAATTTAGTCCCAATAACAGCAGCAGAAAATATAAATGTTTTATGCAAAAGCTCCAAGGATGTTAACTGCTCTGAAGATTTTATGTATAAATTGAAATAAAAGATCCTGTCCATTTTGGTGATTGTGTGTTAAGTGTATTAAATTCAAAGCACATCATGGTGTTAAACAAAAATGTCTGAATAATTATGAATTAGATAATTCTTATAATGAACATGATCTTTCAGATAATCGCAATTCTCCAAAAACAACACTCATATCTGAATCTCCAAAATATTAATTGTCTTTATATTTCCAACTGGGAAAAAAACTCACTAATATCATTTATTTTGATTTTGATATTCATGCTTGGCTTATATCAAATGAAAACAACATGTATTTGATATTTAGTATTCAGCCTTAATTTCACCAATTAAGCCATATTCTAAAATTTAACAATTGTTTTTAAATGTCGAGGAAAAACAAGGTATACTAAGATGTAAGCCCCTTGTCTTGTACTTTATACTTCTTAAAGCTAATAATTTCTCACATTTTTGGAAAATCTTTAGTGCAGCATTAATTGCCACCACTCCATTGTAACTGATGAGAATAGAATTGCATTAATTTCTGTTAATGTGGAAAAACACTAAGAAATAGTCAAACTGGAAAATGAATACAAAATTTGTTTTTAAGCTTATTCTTTTGTTTAAATTTTCATTTTAGGTGTAATTTGTTATGCTATTTCTCTATAATTAAAAATTTTAATGTTTTTTACAGTTGTAACATATATACATAAATTGCCTAAAAGGTTAAAAATAATAACTAATGACATTATTTGGTTTATAAAATTCAAATTGGAATAATATTGAAGAACAAGGAATGAGGACTAATCCTTAACCTTGTGAAAAACACAATAATTCAGTGTTACATTTTATTCACTTATTTTGAAAAGCAGATGATTAAACATATCTTGCTATTTTCAAGTGTTCTTGTGAGGACCAGTGGAATAGCTCAGTATTTCCTAGCCCTAGTTTCATTAGAATCATGGAGAGCACATTAAAAAAAAAAAAAAAAAAAAAAAAAAAAACAGTCCAGGCCTCACCACACTCTAATTAAATCAGAATCTCTGGGGAATGGCGCCCAGGCAAGTAAATTTTAAAGGTCACTGGAGATTCAGTGTGCAGTTTGGGCTGAGAATCATAGAGCTAACTAACTGCTTAATAAATATTGGGTAAGTATTAATATTAATCAGGTTAAATATTCTTAAAATATTTTTAAAAAATTGAAAACAGGAAAGAAGTGTAAGAAAGATCAAAATAGAAAATTTTTTATCCCCAGATGAGTACAGGTAATTGCCTGAATATGGTTTTCCTCCAAATTTATAA